TGGGTGTAAAGTACAAGAGCATGGCGGTTAAGGTAAATAGCCGTTCCCAATAAGCTTTATTTATCGTTTTGTTTGGTCACCCTTTGATTTGATACTGATAGTGATGATACCGTTTAATATATTTAGTTCGAATATATTTGAGGGCGTCTTCATATGAGCCCGAGTACCGGGACCAGTTTCTCCTTGGGTTCATAAGAGAAATTTCAGCCCGGTTTCTGAGATAAGAGAAGGCCAAAAATCTTGCCGACGAGTTCTGGGGCGAAATGGGAGAAAGAGAGCACAGATGGAGAAACACAAAAATCATAACTTTCTTGCCTAACAGACCTTTCCTGAATTCCACTCCAATGAGCAAACATAAAATGAGGTTGAGGCTGAGGTTCAAATCACTGATTTGCCCACCCAAGCCACAACTTGATGCCTTTGTTTACAGGAATGTCGGAAAGGCCTACTCATAGCTGTATCACTGCAGTTAAATAGGATGCTTTATGATGTAGAAAATACAGCAGGCAATGCAAGATGATGCAATCCGGGTTCATCTAACTTTCATCCCCGGGTAACTGGGCTGAAGTGTTCATATGGCAAAATTTTCAGCCCACTAACCAAGACCCCAGTTGGAAAAACTGAGATCTCAGGATTAATGAGCCAGTCCGCACTCTCAAATGAACATATCAAAAATGCAACAAAGAATTTAGAGGTAAGGCGAGAGCCAGCCCGGTCAACTAGGCTTATGTGAAGAAGCCCTTAGTGGAGTGCCCGTAAAGTAGATTGAAAGACTGTTGGGGGTGGGGGGGGGGGAAGTACTCAACCACTATTAGGGAATAGGTGAGCTGTTGAGGGTTTGAAACCCTGACCCAATTTAGGAGAAAAAATCCTAAAACACTTATCCTGTTTAGGACAAAGGACAAAATAATTCATGTCGTCTTGTTTTAAAACTATTTATTGGCGATTGCAACAGAGCAAATTCACGTCATAGTCATTGTGTTTGTATACTTGGAGTACAAACAAATTTCATCTAGCAAATCAAATCAATTGTGCAGGCAATATCCTGTTTATAATTAGGACAGAATCGCACAAAATTATATACCCTGTTTAGGACAGATAGGGCAAAAATTGATCCTGTCCAGTGGCACATTCCCCTTGTAGACCATATGAGGGAGTAATTAACTCCCAGGCTTGAAAGCTTCTTTTTGTACAGTTCCACTGTAAACAAACCTTTGCATAACAGACATATATGGCAGTAATCAGTTTTTTCATTACTTTTTACATCAGGTCATCAATTTTACACCCACAAACTCTTACCTGGATGACTGTTTGTTCAATCAAATGGTAGTACATGCTCAGAAACATCCCAACAAGCCCAGAAGTGCAGAGGGTTGGATTTTAAAGGGATCAAATTACCATAAACCAACCTGTGTTTCAGCCACATTTGACAGCCTTGTAAAGCTTGGATTTTTGAGAAAAGAGCGCAGAAATCTTGGAACTTGTGTCAAATATCCGACTGTGAATCCAGGTATTGTTACTTGCATTGTAGCACTAATTCTCTTTCCCAATGTGAGATAACCTAACACTTGAGTCTTGGATTCTGGATTCCTCTCTGTGGATTGCAGATTCCAATCATTGATGGCCAATTCAGGATTCCTTGTCGAGCTGAATTCCCGGGATTCCGTATTCCACAAGCAAAAATTTGCTGGATTCCTGATTCCACAGTCAAAAATTTGCTGGATACCGGAATCCAGATTACCTTATATAGGGCTAAATTCTCCCTACCATTCATCTGCACCTATCAAAAGTAGAATGATGAAATTTATTTAGCTCGTTGCATTGATACTATCAATAGGTCCTTTGTGCCCAGAAGTTGGAATGACTTTAGACTGTTCATAGTCCTCATTTTTTTGTAAGATCCTTAGGATTGAGTGCTTAGTGGTTAGGGCAGCCATCTTGGTTTCATATGTACTGAGGGGGCGAGGCATCGAAGTTTATAGCTGTAGATTTGACACTCATCCAAGATGGTCACTCGTAATGCAAAGTTTTCGATCTCAACAATCTCGTGAAAACATAGGGGACAGTGAACAATCTAGAATGACTTAAATTACTAGGTGAATGTCAGATTGATCAATTTCTGTTGTAGATTTTAAAAAGTTTCACTCAATTAAGTTCCTTAAGTCTTTTATTAACATATCTGTTGCAATTTTTGCTGATCTTTTGTATACATTTTCTAACACTATGGTTAGGTTTCAGAGATATCAGCTTATCTTACGTTACTCGGTAGATCAAAATCGATCAAAATCTAAACTTAATAGACTGTATGTATTCATGAAGAGTGTATTGTGTGACATATGTTTGTATGTATGTGACTGCAAGTGTTTGTCATCAGTCAGCCTGATTTATACAGTTAAGCCCTCTGTTAGTATTTTCTTCATAATTTTGCAAGCCCAGGTAGTCTGCTAATGAAGGAATCATCTTTTAGAGCCACAGAACACACTTGTCAGGGAAGTGAAGATGATTGCTCTCGCAGGGCATGCTGCCGATGGCTTTACCTGGATACTGCTGAAGCTTGCTCGCTTTTCAGACTCACTGTTCATTGGTGGTGCACCGATGTTGAAGCACCATTTCAGCAAAGAAGAATACAGAGATGCTAAGAAAAATATAAAAGAGTTGGTTGACGTAAAGAAGGATTCTATCAGAAAAAATGGAAAACGGAGAAAAGACCTTGAATCTGATAACTTGTTTTAAATCCTGGTAGCCTGAAATGAATACAAGTTGTAATTCACTGTTAATAAGTTGTGATGTAATGATATGGAGAGAAAATGTCAAGAACTGATAAATAGCCATCCTTGCCAGGATAAGAAGAAGAAAGAAGAAGAAGGAAGGAAGAGAGGCAGTTTAGCCCGTGAGCAAACTCTGGGCTCGTGCGACTTTTCACCTGGCGTCCAAGGATGGGAGTAATAAGCTCCCTTTCTCCCTCTTTTCACTTGGTATCGGAGTGGGAGCAAGCTCTTTGCCTTCTCTTTACACTTGGTGTCAGAATGTGGGGATATTAGCTCTTTCTCAGCTGTTTTCCTTGGCTCCAGGAGAAGAGGTTAAGGGAAGCCTATACCTTTCCCTTACCCACGCCGCAAGTCCCCCAGGTTTAGGCCAAAGGTCGTCAAGAGAGCTATGGCTTGCCAACTGATGATGATGATGATGATGATGATGACGATGACGATTAAAGGAGATTTTACTCTCTAACACTAAAAGGAAAATAATTTATTTTCATATTTAAAGGAGAAAGTCCCAGCATTTTGTGATATAAGGGCTTTCGATTGAATCATAGTAAAATACCGTTGTCCCAAATCTGGACTGTTTTTTTTTCTTTTATTAGCGAGTAACTTCACCATTAAGAAAAAAAAATGGACAAGAATGCATGTATATATGTTGTGTTTCAATTTTATCCGTGGTTTGATTTGATTTTCCTCTCAGTTTTTGGGTTTGAAACAAAACGAAAAAAATTGAACCAATTCGCAAGGGTGTATAAAATTAAAACACAACGTATTAAATAGTTATTAACGGTTACATTCGAGTCCCGCTATTTCGAACTCGGTTAATTCGAAGTCCCCGCTATTTCGAAGGAAGATCGAATTCCCTTGGATTTACCCTTCCCCTTTACGCTTCCCCGGTTATTTCGAAACCCCGCTATTTCGAACTTTTTTCCATTTCCCGGGTTCGACCGTAGTTAATGTAACCAGTTCTTCATTTTCCCCAAAATAAGGTCCTGCTTATCATTGGAATTACGGTCAAGTCGCCTGAAAGTCATCTCGCCCGAAGTCATGTCGCCCGAAATTTATAGTCATGTCGCCCGATATTTTGAGTCATGTCGCCCGAAATTTCATAATGCTCAAAAAGGTTCTAAAGGAACGATAATTTATGCCGCGTCTGATCCTAAGGGAAATGATGCTAACCTATGGGCTCCTGTGCTAACACGCTTTGTTCGCGTGGTTAACAATAAACAACAATAACCGCTGTAAAGGTTTCAGGTTGTTTTTTATACGATAAGTCAAACTAAGAGAACTTGATGTATTTTTCTGATATGTGTGAAAAATTCTGATAACTGAAAGTGTTCCGCTTATAATAACTAGAATCTGTACTGTAGAATGAGCCGCTTAGTTCATAGCAACGAACAACGCTGAAATGAACAGCGATGTTGGAGTCTTTGTTTAACTTCATATTTGCATAGGTTAGCGAGTCAACATGTTACGAGTTCATTCCTTGCGATTTACTTGAGACAGTTACTTTTCTTCAAGTTTATACACTCGATAAAATTGCGGGCGGCATGACTTAGGATTTCGGGCGACATGACTTTGTGTTTCGGGCAACATGACTCTGGTTCCGGGCGATATGACTTCGCGCGAGATGACTTTCGGGCGACTTGACCGGTTACCTATCATTGATACCCCTTCGCGTGCGAGAAAGAAAGTGTAGGTCAATGACGTCGACACAGTTATAGTTTTTAAACACTTAGAACTTTTTTAATAAACTGCGAACCAGCTTAGTAAATTAACAGCGTATTGGTGATATTTAAATCTTGAACAGGGTAGTGACGTAATAACCTTGGTGTGAAGGACTAATTTGCTGATTGAGTAATGCTTATACTTTCTTGCATTATTTGGCTTTTAGGCGTACGGTTCAAACTTCACATTACTTCTTTTATGCCAAATGCCAACTCCTGTTTCTTGATTTATTCAACTGGTAATGCTCCCAAGTCGGCGGAATTGATGACTCTTCTTGACTCAGAGGTACGCTATTATAGTACGTAGTTCCTTTTTCTAGCTGTTTATAGAGCGGTTTTCATTTGAGTGTCGAAAAGTAATTGGTTTTGCACTTTCTACACGATGCGATTGGCTTAAAAGATTCGCGCCACCTTTTCATCCAATCAGAAGTAAAACCAAAGCCAATTGTGACGCGCTCGCACGATTTTCCCGCGCTTTGCGTCAGCCACATGTAATTACTTCGAGTTTTGATTGGTTCAATGTATTGTCTGTGTCCTATGTGATTGGCCAGAGTAATTACTTTGGTTTTGGTTTTACGACACTCAAACGAAAACCACTCTATTGCTTAAAACGTATTTACATCCCGTAGTAGGTCAGAATGAGGGGGCGATGGAGAGATCTCATGGATTAAGATATTGTGAGTGAAAGGGGACACAAATTATATTTCTATTCAATGATAATTGGACTACGAGTGCGAGTTATCTAAGAGTGCGTTCAACTGGGCAATCTAGATTTAGATTTTGAAATCCGGATTTCGTCCGTCCTTGGATTTTTTATTTCCAGTTTTTTCGGGATATCCGAGGAAAAATATTTAAAGAACTGTTGTCAAAAACAGCGGCCGTCTTGCACCCGCACACATAATAAGCATCGCCCCATGTTCCGGAATCCGGGAAAATTTTGCTAGTGGAATCCGGAATCCTGCTCTTTGAAATCCGGAATCCAAGTTCTACCCCGACAAAGACTATATCTACTTCTGCGGCAGAGACATGCCGCAAAAACAATTTTTTTCAAGAATCTGGCGTTGATTTCTTTTCGTTCAACTGAGTCGTCGTTTTGTTACTCATCACACCACAGATCACTCAGTTCCAGGAGCCTATTCGCTGTACATGTAGTACTCTTCAGTTCTTAGTCAGTTTAATCTTATGGTGGCCCATACAATTAAAAACGCTGCTAATACAAAACATTCGCTGAAAATTTATGACGAAGATGGTTTCTATCACTACTTTCTACTTAACAATGGTAGCCCTCAAAATGAAGCCCCACAAAAAGAACTCAAAATGCAAGAAGTTGGGATGCCTTGATGATCGTTTGGAACTGAGTGATGAAATGGCAGATTGTGCAAAAAGCTTCCTATCTATCGAGTCGCTGAAGCAGACTTTGCTGACGGGATCCCTGATGGGCGTAGGGAGCGATTACCTGCAAAACGTAAGTATCGTTTGAATTAATCATTATCAATAGAACTTCTATACTACAATAAACGACCACCAGGGTGTTTGTTGCATACTTGCTTCTAATTTATTATAATTGTTACAGTCAAACCTCTTGTTATCGTCGTCGATGCTTAGGCCCCGTCTACACGAATCCGGACATTTTTGAAATCGCTTATTTTGTTACCGGATTCATCGTGTGGACGGAACCCTAAACCACTCTGGAGAGAGGTTTTACTGAATAGATGCGGTTTCGGTAAGCGGACTTACTGGTTTCCTTTTAAGCTTCCTATTGAAACTAATCGGCTTCGGGGAGAAGACCAAAACTGCAGGACAAATGAAAAGTGAGCTCTTTGCTTGTCATTTCATATGTAAGTAGAGCATGATCGCCCGGGTGAACGTAGTCCTGACTAGGACCGTTATTGACAGTCACTGACGTTCGACAACCTGTGTGGTAGTCGTCTTTAGAGTCAAAGCGAGTCGTATCACGTGGGTTGATGGTATTAAGCTCCGGTTATTGACCTGATTGGTCAATTAAGTCACGATGTTAACTATTGGTCTTCTCACATGATGCCTGATTGGCTATGAAGACTCTTAAATGTCGTTGTTGCGTTTCGATCCGTCTTTTTGTCACAGTGAAACATTCGTTTATTATTATTATCGTTACTATTATTGCAGGTGGAAAACGAGGAACTTGCAAATATGTGAGAGTCTGTGGTTGTGTGGAGGCTTTGGTTGCCTGTCACAAGATAACAGGTGAATGCTTCGCCATCTGCACCAGAGCTCTGTGTTTGAACGGGATAAGCTGTGACTAGCTATTGCGCACAGCGTGTCGGTTTTCAGAGTTTGATAGAGAACAGTGGTGATGTAGTTCCGGCTAATTAAATACCAATACCGTAAAGTTATTGAAAATTTAGTTGTATGTTAAACGATCTAACTCTAAAGAAAAAATTAAAAAAACCATTATAAAATCGACCACTTTGTGGATATCTGTTCAGGATTAAATTCGTTTAAGTACGAAAACGGATATTTTTCTTCGGTTTGGCCGTATCCGGTGAAAAACGGTCACCAAAAACGTATCTTTTCAAAAAACGTTTTCCAGGGTGGAGATTTTTCAAAACGAAGAGATTTTGCTGTACTCGTGACGTATGTATGGAAGAAAACGGAGGTTATAGAAAAACGATTACGTCACGGTACCCTGCGAGCGGGAGGTTTCTCTCTTGCATGGCTTTTAGCGTTACGGTGTCGTTCGCGCCGCTTGCCAGTCGCGTAGTTAGTCTGCTTTATACGCCCGATGCAAGAGACAAACATCTGCTCGCAGGGTACGTCACGGTGTTGGATATCAATAAATGCCCATGCTCCCATCAAAGATTGCACCGTTTCCAGTCACCAGTTCGTTTTCGCGTGGACGGGAAAAAACGATTCGAAAACGCAACGTGTTAGAAGAAAAACGTTTCCGTTTTCAAATAAAACCTAGACTACGAGTAGTCCCCCTTTTTTCCTCAGGGATAGTAGAACGAGCAAAACGCGAGCGCTCGAGAAAAGGCGACACGCGGCGGGGAGAGAGAAAAATGAGAGAAAAAGAGAAAAATGGGGTGATTTTCACGCGCGCTCGCGTTTCGCTCGCTCTACTATACCTGAGGAAAAATGGGGACTACTCGTAGTCTAATAAAAACGAATACGTGTGGAAGGGGTCTAACTGTCTTCCGGCATTGCATACATTAGCATATACATCAGAGACAGAGAGGTCCCATCTTTCTTTGATTATAAAGCGTATTTTGTTTTGTTCTTACCAGTAAACTGTGCTTTCACATTTCTCGGGTAGTAATCTGAAATAACGACAAAGATTTTCATGAAATGGTCCCTAAACGCTCTGGTCCAGAGCTCCAGTCCTTCAAGAATAAAAAAACCAAAAATCTGAACACAACATTTTAATATTCTCCGGAAGAATTTGGGGTTCAGCTGTACTAACAACATGTGAAGACCAACCTCCTTCTTTAAACATAGGTGCAGTCACATATTGTATAACATTAGGGTTACCAATCACCTTGCTTATTTACTAATATATTAACGATCTCTTCAACCACCCACGAACACGAATTCAGAGCAGGATTCGGTTTTTTAAGGAAAACTAAAAACATTTCCTTAAGTTCTTGTGGAAAATAACTTTGCTTCACCACAGGAAAAAGAAGTTTTAAAGCGCATTTCAGGTTTCTAACAATCTCAATGGAGTATTCGCTTTTCAGCAGGCCGAGGTACGAGAGAAGGCTCTCCCCAACAGGCCACGCCCTGCATTTCAACTCGACAAAAGTGCGAGAAAATAATGAGTCTATGCACCTCGAAAGTAATTCCCTGTATTGTTCAAGAGCAGCGACGTCACAGATTCGCTTGAAGCTCCTTCCTGTCTCTCTTTCACCTTCCTGCACCGAAGTAGGAAGAACTTCTCGGGTAACCGCAGACACAAGAGCCCGAAGGCGCAACTCCTCTAATCCAAACAGTTTGGGACTCGATTTGGAAAGAAATGAAGCAAATGTAGAAGCAAGATTTCTTGGAAAATAATCCTCGCCGAAAATATGTTCAAGCGCTAAAAGGGGACCTTTGAGGTTTGATACGATGTTGACGTCAAACTCTCCCTTAAGAAGTCCCATTCGAACTAAAATGGAGTTCCCGAGGGAAAAGGCATTGCAATGTTCGTGCGACAGGCCTTGCTGCATAATATCCCCGGCGCACCTAAGTAATAGTCGCTTCTCACTCGACAAAGCAACGCAGACTTGAAGGAAAAGACTTGCAATTCTGTCCGCTATCCATGGGCTGCTAGTTGAAAGATATTTGTCCAATATTGTCCTAAACAACGAATATTTTGAGTTGAGACAATATGTAAAAATCTTTGAGTTTTCGAGAAAAAATTCCACGAAATCTTCCACGAATGGCGGTTGGGGATTTCTAGTGTTGATCGCCTGACTTAGGCAGGATAAAAAGTCTTGTACTTCATCCACACCGAATTCGCTCATTATTTTGCGCAATTGGTGCTCTTGCCCATCGGAATCTCCGACGATCAAAATTTTGTTGCTTTTAGTATGGATTCCGCCCGCACTTTTAGCTTCACTATCTGCACTCTTCAGTGACGACATTTTCTCGCTCTTGCATTTGCAAAGCTCTTTTAATATTTGAGCGAAGTGTTCAAAGTTGTCAAATACTGGTACCTCCTCCGGCCTTGTCTCTTCGAGGTCAAAACTGGTCAAACCTGCTGGCAAATTCCTTTGTTCAAAACAAAAAGACGCCCGTGGATTGCGAGAACAGAGTAAGGTACCTTTCAAATCAGTCAGCAGCTTTGCTAATAAGCCCGTTTCCAAATTGCGGCGATCAGCATTTCTCCCAAATAAGTCCTCCCTTATTAAAGCAAGGGAGCATCGTTTGCTTGGTCGAGCATCGAACGATGCAACAGAGTATACAAGAAAAGGATAATGAATGAAAGAAACACAACTTGGAATTGTGTTCCAGAGTTTTCTCTCTAATATGTGAAGTGTTTTCCACGAGTTGTAAGAGGTTAAGCCATCCAATTTGTCTCTTTTCCTTGTAACCATAGTTCCGAGAAGATGGTTAATTTTCCAAGACAACTCTTCGCCTTCTTTTACGTCCCTGTTCTTTAACTTCAATAACACCTTGTTACAATGTTCTTGAAACTGAATTTGATTCTTTTTAGACTGCTTCAATGAATGAACAGTTTTAACATCCCGTACTCGAAAACTTGTAGTGCAAACACAATCCTTCCTAACTGTCTCTTCTTCTTTTTCAATATCTTTGCATTCAACTGCTCGTTCATTTCGATTTTCATCCAGAAGACTGTCTTTGGAGGAGCTACGACTTCTCCGGGGTTTATAGTGGAGTAAAATATCCGCACTCCCTTTCTGATTAAACTTAAAAGCCAAACCAACCGCAGTGAATCCAAGTTTGTCTTTAATACCTCTGTCGCAACCAGCGTCAATAAGTACTTTCAGATTATGTATGTTTCCTAGTTTAGCTGCTAAGTGAAGCGCAGTGCGACCGAGTTTGTTGCGCACGTTCACGTCGCAGGATCCGGCAGTTACTAGAGTAGATATAATGTTTTGTTCTGCCTCAGAATGTTCACTACTGATGTGAAGTGAAGTCATTCCCTCCTAAAATAAAACACACCACGAGGATCACCGTTAGATAACGATAAAAAAAATCAGACTATAGAATCTCTGAGTGCAATTACCATTTTCACCTTGCCTAGATCCAATATGAGCTCCTGACATTGCCCACAAAATACCTTGTTATCTACCCCCTTCACGCCCTTCAAACCAATTTGGATAAGCATTGTCTTAAATTTCCCTCGGGACCACTGTAACACCCAGGAGTATTATTTTGGATAGTAACAGGATGTATTATGGGAAATGCGAAAATGGTTAATTGTATGACTGTAACAAGGCCCTTGCATTCACAAAGACGGTTAACTATTCCCAGTTTCAAATACGATACGATTTAAGCCTTTTCAACGCGTCTCGGAAATTCAGTAAAAATTGGCCAGATTTTGTTCTCTTTTTATGTACTTTCTTAAGAGGCACTGTCAAGAGATGTATTTGCAACAATGAAACATCAATCAGGGGCACCCAACGAGAATATAGTTCAAAACCACTTAAACGTAGCACTGTTAAACGTTTAGTATTTAAACGGTAGATAGGCATATTTTCATCCCCTAAAAATTTTTCATCTGTTCGGATTTCCTAGCTGAAAGCCAAGTGATCCGAAAATTATAGGGATCAAAACTTACCTTTTCGAAAATTTCAGCCAGAAAAAAGGCTCCCGAAAATTCTACGTGACCTTTTTAGGGTAAAAATCCGTTAAAAATAGGCAATTATACCATTTTTTTGATGTTCGAAAATCATAGGAGAGGCAGGCAAGCAAGAAATTTTACAACAAATGTTCCGAAAATTCTAGATCTAAAATCGTCTTCCGAACAGATATTCTTCCGAAAATTGTCGTTGGGTGCCCCTGATCAATACAATGTTCCAATCCTATTTTGCACTTTAAAAGTGCAATGAAACTATTTATGGCTGTCTTTGGCCATACATGAATGAAAACAAGGAAAACGACTACACTGACTTGAAAACTTCAGTTTATAAATTGTGTCATCGTGTCTAGGACAAGTTGCTAAAAACAATAACTTTTTACGTTTCTTCCACTGGACAGCCTGTGAGAATCAGGCCTTCCAGTCGCTTTCTCTTCCCAGTTTCTTCCAATATTGTTGATTCGCTTGAAAACCATGCGTGATGCACCCTCTTTGTGTTGCAGGTCCGGGCACTCACAGTTAAGAATCTTACAGCCAAAGCCTTCGCATGCATGCCTACCTATAATGACTAAATTGTAGCGACGGCTATATGATTGTTTAATTTAATTTTAAATCTCAACGAGCCGCATTCTTTTTGTTTGAAATGTTCTGAGATAGTAAGACTTTTCTCTGGTATACTTACTTTTGTCCGACTATTGACGTCAGATCCCGCTTGTACTAACAGTTGCACCAATTGTTCACTTCCTTGTAGTGTAGCAAGGTGCAAAGCTGTAAAGCCCATGGAATCTCTGGACTCTAGATCACATGCTTCAGTGCTTGTTAGTGCTTGTACAGCTTTGATGTCCCGAGATATGACAGCAGTATGAAGGGCTGAATATCCGTAGCCAGTCTTCGAGCTTCTCACATCCATATCTAGCAGGCGGAACATAGCAAATATTTCTGTAGTACGTAATATCCACGGTGTTTAATTCATTATTTTTCGGCCTTTCTATTCATTATCATCTATTTCAATACCACGTGGAAGAACAAAGAAAAATTAAAATTGCACTTCAAATAAAATTGAACCGCAACATATATACATATGAATTACTGTTCAAAGCTCACTGTTTACATTATTGATGGCTCTAAATCCTACCCTTTTTGAAGATCAAGTTGTTTTCAAAACAACAATAAAATCTGACTTCCCTACAGCAAAAGCTTCCTTCATCGCGCGCTTTGTTTCATGGTATAATAATAGCAATGGATAGATAGGCGGTTATATAAAGTAGCTTGTTTTCCCTCCCTGAATATTACTAATTTTCAAATGAACTGCTCCGGAAACTATGTACACTGCTGTACAGTACGTTCTAAATAATCTGAATTGTTCAACAGACGGTGGGTCGGGGACAGGCCCGATCGGAGAAGTTTTATGGTAAACGTTTTGCTGAAAGATTCCGGTTACCAACGAGGAGGTCATTTAGTTGTTCTCGACAAGGCGGGAGTTGTGAAAAAAACCAGTATCCGCAATCAAACGACCTGGGATGATTTAATATAATTATTGTCAAGCGAAAGTTTAGGTAACCTTTCTGCGCCAGCATTGCCAAGAATTTCATTTGATGTTTTAAGCAGTAATTGAATGAGCTGTTATCATTGCTTTCACTCTCTTTGAATACATTTTCACGAAGATTTTTGCTAATATTCTAGAGTTTACAGATTTTATACGCACGAAGTGAAGACAGAATGACGCGAGGACGCCATACGTTGAGAAAGGTCAACATTTTCAAGCTTACCTTTTCAAGTTTTAAAAAAACACTCGTCGTGTTTCATCCACTCCTGTAGAATACGGATTCCCTGTCACTCAAAAACGAAACTTTTATTTGGCGAAACATCTTCATTTGTAAATCTTGTTCCAACGCTTACGCTGTTACCGTAAATAGCATGAAACAATTTTCTTCAAGCCTTAATGCTACGTCCGTGATCTTCTGTGGAATGTAGTCAAGTCAGTTTCTTTTGTCACAAATGTCACAAATCCCCAGTCAAACAAAGAACATGATCTTTATTTATTGAGTGCCCACTATCCCGCAAATGGGCTTTTAATGGCACGACAAGACTTGAACACGATAACAGCTTTTGTTGAAAAAGAAAATTCCATGTATAGCCCAAAAATTATCCAATTATCTACTAAAATAAAATACATATACAGGATTTTAATATTTATGTCTCTGATGCTTTTAAACCGTTTTCGGCTGTCATATACATAATTGTTATCATTTTACCGCCGTTATTCGAAACCGCAGCTGTCGCATTTGATCAAATGATGGCCGGAAGGGGTTAGGACTGACAGGTGGACCCTCGCTCATATTGGTAGTCTTTGATTTACACATGAGCCTAAATAAGCTAAGAAATATTTCAAGACAAGTAACTAATTCTTTAAGTAAAAGGAAGCTTCGCACACAACCGTTTCTTTTACATGCTTCACATTTTTCAAAGCTCAAGAACCGCAAGTTCGCTTAGTCGGCGGTTTTAAGGATGGTTTTCAAGTCACTTGAAACTTTCTTGAATCGTTTCAACTTTCCGACTATAATAAGATGCAAAGTAAACTAGTAACTTGAGATTTTACTTTGGCCTTCACACACGTATTTTTGGCTAAGTAAAACTTAGCAGCTCTTAAGGCGGCTTACTTAACGGCCTAGTGTAAAGACAACCATTGCCAGTTTCTACTTGTTGGCATTCCGGGCTGATCATTCCCTTTGACGTTCCAGGCACAACTTATTTCTCAAAACGAGTTGAGCGATGTTGTGCGTTTGTAAAGTGGCTGTGTCACGGCAGTACAGTTCATTTTGTTTAATTTTGCCAATTAGGGACTGTGCAATAATTATCAGGAGGGGGGGGGCTGAAAAACTAGAGGGGGGGCATTACATAAAATTGCTGCCAAGATAGGGGGGGGCTCAAAGTAAAATCACTCATTTGATGGAGGGGGGGGCCTTAACTTTTATTCGAAATGTAAACAAAATTAAACGCAATAAAAGATTCTCAATACAGGCATCGTGATAGACTGTAACAAATATCATGACGAACAGCTGTTAAACGATTATTGAAAATATTCCATCAAAATGAAAAGCAAATTCACAACTGATCAATTTTAACCCGTCTTCTAATTAATTGAGCTGATCCTATGTAAAGCAAAAATCATGAACTTGTTTTTCAGCTTCGCCCATAAAACAATGGGAATCAAACAGATCTCGTAGACAAGCCTTGTCGGGTTTTGATGTGAATAAAAGTAATGTTTCTTCATCGACTTAATCGATTTGCTGAATTCCATATATATGTGACTCATAACAAAGTTCAACAGCCTCTCCTCCCAAGGATCTAAATATAATGCAAGCTCTTTTGGTCTGTTATTTGAAGCATTCAATCTCCTGTTCAGTTTGATTTTTTTTCTCTGCTCCTTTCTCTTTCTGGCCTCAGAAATTTTAGATTTTGAGCCAATGTGGTAAGCACCCCGGTACTTAGCAAATGCTTTGTCTAAATCTTCAATCAAGCGATCAACATCCTTCTCGATACTAGATGTTACATAATAACGTTTGTCATTATTGAAGCTGTGAAGGCAGCTCAGTCCAGTTTTGAGTTTACCAGTGTGGTGGGAGGGGGCGGGGGGAGGTNGGGGGGGGGGTATAACTAATTTTTTTTGTTTTGGAGGGGGGGTACTGTCTAAGTTTTTGCTAGATAACTCTAGTTTTTCGGCCCCCCCTCCTGATAATTATTGCACAGTCCCTTACTCGCCCTCAATCGCTATGGAACTTAAAGTAAGCAAAGAAATTAAGGGTAAATGACAAAATCAGAGATCCGAGGCAAACACGAAATATGTCTCCTGAGCATTATTTTTGAAGTTGCAAGCAGCAGGGATCAACTTTGAAAAACTGTTTGGCTGAACAGTTTTCAAAAACCCTAATTTCAATCCGTTTCTATCAAGTTCTTATGTTGTTTTAACCTTCCTTTAAAGTTTTAAGCGGTTATTTTCATCTTTCTCTCAATTTAACAGGCATTTTGTAATTTCCTAATCTGGCTGAATTTCGTGACACAGATCCTTTAGTACCACACGAAAAAATCTTGGAAAACAGGTTGGAGCGTCGGTGGTAAAACGCGCAACATCGCTATTCAAAAAACAAGTTGCTCGTTTTACTTAAACAAATTTACACGAGCGGCAAAATTTATTCGTACATTTTTTTGCCGTTGTTTTGCACTCTAGTACATGTTCAAGGTTAAACTTCCTAGTTACAGCGGGAACCCATTCTGGTTACACGTTTTATAGTGGAAATATCGTGTGCCTGTTCGCATTTTTTTGTCTTTCACTGTCGCTCATTTTCACCTGGGTGGCCGTTAGTACAGTCTCATTTTTCATTTTTTTCTTTGTTTTTTTATCTCCCGCTCTAGTTCTATCTGGATGTGTTGTCCACGTCACTGTAGACATCAAAATTTACTCGGAAAAAAAAAGAACTCGGCTTTGATAGTTCCGTCCGGCAATTCATCCTCACATGGATGGGGTTAATAACTGACAAGCTATTTTCTTGCCTTAGTATAGTGCTTGTAGTAAATGTAACATTTTCAGGAGCTCATGACTCTCATAGGCTCTTGACATTTGACATTGGTTTACATGTAGGGGGTGGACGGACGTACGGACGGCCAATTGATTACCAAAATTTCTCCCATGTACAGGTTACCATTTTTTTTCTTATTTTACCCACGAAGCTCTCGCGCGCATGGAGCTCTCTCGCGCGAGAGAGCTCCGCTATGGAAACTGGCCACTGTATGGCCAATTAATTAGTTGATTCCTTGCCTACCTACCCTAGACTCACACGCGCGAAGTCTGCGAGCCTTACACGTCCGTAGCTGGGCGTGTGAGGCAAGAGAAAACCGTCTAGCGTTCCGTTCAATAGCGTCTCCCCCCAGGGCTTGCTCTGCGTTTTCAGCCCCACTCCTAGCCTGGGTAGCAGGCGCTGGTTTGTTTTTTAGGGCGAAGGAAGAATCTTTTTTAAAAAAATAACCAGCGCCTGCCATGACGGAGGCTACCTCACTCCAGACCTCAATTTTGTTTGACAGTTCCGGCGCGTACTGCGCAAAAGTAGGGACGGTTTTGCGGTCTATCCCTACCTCTGTATCCCAATCAAAAAAGTGTAAGTTGATTTTTGAGCTAGTCTCCTCATCAGGTATCCTGGGTGCCAGAGGCTTTTCATGCGCGGTTTCCGGTTTCGAGTCAATTTTTTAGACTTCACCGAAACCTTTTACTGATTAAGAGGAGTTAAATGGATCCGAATGTGAAGCCACCGTGGTTGAGACTTTTGACTAAGCCAACTACAATTCTATCCCAGAGTATAATGTAGCTCTCATAACTTGGTTGACTTGACGAGAGATTGAGCTCTCTTGCAATTCTGAAAATGCACAAGTACAAGGACGTAATTGATATTGATGGCATTATAACAGAGTTTGCCCGTCTGAAGGGTACACATCTCGCCCTTTGCTTGTAACGTCCTTGACGCCGTAAACAGTCGATCTGTACTTCACCGATAACACGAGAGAAAAATTGGTAAAATAAACAACTAATTACTGCATTTTCCTTCGGCTTTATTTACAGAAAATGTCCTGCAGAAAACGCAGGAGATGACATTTCCGAGACCCCAATTTTAAAATTTTCTGCTGGGGAAGCAGGAAAAGTTGCGACCTCCAGTGTCCCAGTCCCTCCAGTGCCGATCCAGTGCCTTGACCAGGGCTTTAGGACTCTGGGTACCAGCTGAAGGACCTACACTACATGACGTCATTCCTATACTGCTAAACCGCTGTCACTCTATGAACGCGGTCTCTTCTGCGCAGCAATGGCTGACCCGCGTGGTGGTAAATGAGATTTCTTGAATCGAGAATCATGTAAAGAAACGCAATTCTCTCACTAACAGT